GTTTCGTGGTTTTTTCTATTTCTCAAAATTTTCTCTGATATTTCAGCTGTGATTATTTTCTGCTAAAAAAAGGGGTTTAAAAAATATTTTTAGATTTTTAGGTTAATAACGAGCGCTATTTTTGGTCCTATAAAGTTTGAATGGAGGGTTTAATCATTCGACAAAGACATGAGACAAGCAGTTTGATTTTGGTAGTCATTAGGACCGTAAGCTAAATCATTTTGTAATTTACATAACTCGTGGAGCGAAGGATAAATTAAAAAACTGAAACTTAATTAGATTTTTTAGTTTTTTGAATAGTTTTTAAATTTGGAGGGAAAATTTGGAGGGTGAAAAGACTATAGAAATTTGAATTAAGTATTTTTTAAAAAATTTTTTGCAGTTTTTTTCTTTAATGTACACTCATCTTGAAGAAAACTTCCGGAAAGGTGTTATTTTTACCCGGATAATTAAAATTATCACTGAAGAAGGTTGAAAAACTTGCTCGACATCTTCATCTCAATTCGGCTAAATTGGTAATTTTCAAATCCTCGAAATTAACAAAAAATAGAACAAGTATTTAGTTTTTTTGGCCAATTTTTTTTGGGTCGCTTTAAAAATTTTGTTCGAAAATGGGTTAGAAAATCAAAAATCGACTAGTTGCAAAACAACAAAAAAATATATGTTATGCACTTTTTTTTCAAAATTTGCAGCTTTTGTGAATTTTCCTGCAATTCACCAAAATCGCGACAAAAAATGTTCAAATATTAGTAATCGAAGCAGTTGATTTTCTTTAGTACATTTTAGACTTTTGTAAAAACAATTGGAGGATTTTCATATCATCTGAAATTATCGTCGCATTAGGTTTTGTTACCAAATTGTGCAACGCTATATACAAACATTATCAATTTGCACTCAGCAATGCCTTTAAAGACAAAACGCAATGAACAGTTTATCAAATCTTTGTTAAGCAAAAATTATTTTAGTTACGAGATATTTTGGGCGGCTTTCATAAAATGCAAAACTACGTGACTGTCATAAAATTTAAATTTGTACTTTGAAAAAATTATCAGAGTCAAAATAACTTTTCTCTTGAGCCAAAAATTAATTATTTTAAATGTCAAGCGAAAATTGGTTAAACTAAATTTATAATTCATTATGATTTCAAAATATTAGAGTTTCATGGAAATTGTATAAAAAGAGGCCTGCATTGTGCCTTTATAATTTTTTCAACTTATGGACCATGATTTCAATTGTTTGTTATTCCTAGCCAAAAGCATCAGATGATTTAAATTTTCCAAAGTTTTCAAAAACTTATGAATTTTTTTGTTGTTATTTACATAGCATCCACTTTTTGTTGATACTTTTTAAAAACTTTGCAAGAAAAAAGCAAAAAACAGTATTGCAAAAATTTATCACAAAATACTGAAAAATATATGATATTAAAAAACCCTTACAGTCATTATTAGTACGAAAACAGTAAAAAAAAGTAGTTACCTTAAAAAAAGTTATCAAAACATACTGAGAGCTATATAACATTAAAGCCCTTACAGTCATCGCTAGTTTTTGTTTGTGTCAAGATGGCATTGTTTTTAAGAATCATTGCAGGGGAAATTTCTATTGCAATTTCCATTGGGGGGAAAATTTGGAGGGTGAAAAGACTATAGAAATTTGAATTAAGTATTTTTTATTTTTTTTGCAGTTTTTTCTGTAATGTACACTTAATTTGAGAAAAATTTCTGCAAATGTCTTATTTTTACCCGTATAATTAAAATCATCACTGTAGGAGATTGAAAAACTTGCTCGATATATTCATCTTAATGGGGAAAAATGTTAAAAAAGGGGCAGAATTTTGTTTTCTGTTTTTTTTTGTTTTCCACCCAAGGCCAGGTACCACATATAATCATCGAACTGGGTTGAGTGATAATTTATATTAAAACATTACAGCGGCAATTCGAATCACACTATGAAATTTCAAAAAAAAAACTCCCAAAAAATCTTCCCCAGTGTAGAGAAAAACCGACTTGAAATTTATGATTTTTCATTTTATGTCGCGCAAATAAAGCGAGCAAACAGTCTGAATCTAATTGCTTAAATTATTGCAATACCCCAATTAGTAACGTTAGTTTACTATGAGTATTTTAGCGCGTTTTTGGAATAAAAATTTTCAAAACTTCCAAAATTGCAAAACTTTTTTGATTTTTTTAGTTTTCAAGTAATTTTTCTTCAAAAATTGTTTTTCAATTTGTTTATTTTACTATAACTGTCAAACATACCTAATCTCTAATTTTTTTCTTCGCTCCTTTATCACATCACGCCAAAAAAACGACAATAATTTGAAAAAAATTTGTTGTGTTTTTTCAAGACTTTTTTCGGAACATTATGTGCTACTTGCCGGCTAATCCTGTTGCCTTTTGTTTTCTTAATATAAATTTAAACAAAATATTAAGTGTAGGAATAGTCTTGTACGAAACTCGAATAATGTTTTTGAGTATTATCTTTTTTCCGGTGCAGAACTGCGTATTATGCGGGTTTTTTGGTTTCAAGATATTGTGATTTGCCGATATGGCGGCTTGAAAATCTAATTTGATAAAAAACCGTCTTCACAAATCCTAAGCTGCATATTATCACTTCCCTACAGGCTCTTTGAGAAAGAAAATTTTCAGTCGAGTCGAAAACTTTTTAATCTGCAAATTTTTAAGAACAAATCGCTCGTTTCTTACCTGGCTCTCCATATTTGAGGAAAGATTATCGAATGAATCTACACCACAATAATGACTAGATAAGAATAACTTCGTTCAAATCTCGATTTTTTGGAAAAATTAGTACAATGTAGTGTAAGCTGTTTCAATGCTTTTCAGTGCTAATTTAGAGATTTTAATGTAGTTTTGGTTCTCAAATTGAAAATACATCCTTGGAAAAAGTCTACTCATCATCAGAGTCTACAAACTTATTCGAAAAAAAATTGGGGGTTGCCACTTTTTCACAAAAAAGAGGGGTTCGCTTTTTTTTCAAAAAAAAAATTTCAATCATAGTTTTTTTTAATTTTGTTTTAAATGATGTTCTTTTGTTTTTATTTTTGGAAGTTTTTTTTTGAGAAAGGTACTTTTCGGGCGTTTTGAAAACTGACATTGATATTTTGCTGCAAAATTTTTCCGTTATAAACAAAATTTTTTTAGAACGGTGCCAGAATTTTCAGCTGACAGATGCGGACAAATACTTATTTTCTTTTAATCGAAATTTTGTGTTCAGCAAAATCACACAATTAGCTGATCAATTCTTAATGAAAAAAAGGAAAATTTTATTAGTTGCTAAAAAAGAAATAATTGTAGTTTGATGACACTGCGTTCGAAAGGTCTTTTTCTAAGAATAAAAGATATGTCTCATTCTAGCTTAAAGTCAGGACGTTTAATTTCACGATTCTTCTTTGTTTTATCTCCTTGATTAACAAAATTAGTTATTCAAATGTCTCGATACAGACATTGCCCAGACAGGGAATTCAAAAAAAGGGACAGCTCCGTTGGACATATTTAGCATACTCTGAAAAACAAATGTTTTTATAACAAAAAGTTGCTCTCTTTTTAATTTGAATGAGGAATTTGATCATTCATTTCTCTGTCAAATTGAATGCGGAATTTGATCATTAATTCTTCATGTCGTCATCAAGAAAATTTTAGGATCACTTGACAATTCAAACATGAAAGAAATTAATTCTCTTAAGACATTTTTTAATTTTACTGAATCCTTATGAATTCACATGAATGAGCTCACAAAAACCCGTAGCATTTTTATCGATTCGAATACAATAAACTTTTTTGCTCCGATAGAAAAAAAAACGTTTGAGCTCAGATTTGTTTCAGATTTGTTCGAACAAACTTCCTTGGCTCTTGAAAAAAAGGTTCTTAAGATATTTTTTAATACAAAACATATGCAAAACAGTCCCATAGAAATTATTACGACACAAACAAAACGAAAAATTGCATTTTGAACCTGATTTTATGACTCGTCTAAATTGTTTTGTGCATTCGCAGATCACCCAGTTCGATGTGCTCGATTTATTTTTTGACTTTCTCGACCAAAAATCGTTATGTTTCGACCGTCTCGACTAAATTTCGGTATGTTTCGACTTTTTCGGTCAAATCTTGGCATCCTTTTGACCTTTGCAATATGAACATGAAACCAAAGACAGAAAATCAGTCAGATTTGATATCAAAGTAATTAAATTAGGGATTGCAATGTCCGACTGCAAAAGTAGTCTGCCATGGTGCCACATCATGGCAATGGTGCATGAAGTTTTAACAGGACTCAGCGCTACAAAATGGAATTATCCTACAGTATTCGACGTTTGTTTTAGATAAAGTCTTCGTAATGTACAAAATTTAGAGTTAGTTAGTGTCTCTGATAGTTGAATTGTAACTAGAATTGTATTTTCAATTGTTTGAGAATTGAGTAACCTAAATCTAGTTCTTGA